ACAGAGGTGTATCCCAAAATTTATTATTGATACAAAGTGACGCAAGATTTATTTACTTATTCTTCTGAATGTTCTTCAGTTTGGTCATCGTCCGTACCCCTACGGCTTTTCCGTCACAATCTTGCCGTCCTTGTCATAAAAGATCTCCTTGACCTTGACAGACCGCAGGTGATCCACGCCCTTGCTCAGCTCGCAGTCGTGGTGGAAGAGCCACCACTGGCCCTTGAACTCGACAATGGAGTGGTGCGTCGTCCACCCCAGCACGGGCTCGAGGATCCGTCCCCCGTACGTAAAAGGGCCCAGAGGGCTCTCGCTGGTGGCGTAGCAGAGGTAGTGCGTGTCGCCGGTCGAGTAGGAAAAGTAGTACAGCCCGTCCCTCTTGTGCAGCCACGCGGCCTCGAAGAAGCGGCGGTCGTGGTCGTCGGCGAGGATGGGCTTCCCCGTCTCGGGCGCGAGGATCTGAATCTCTTGGACCTCGCCATCGAACTGGTGCATGTCGCCCGTCAGCTTGGCCACGCGCGGGCCGAGCGCGTAGACGCCCTCACCGCTGGGCTCCTGGGCGCCGAGCCACTGCTTCTCGAAGACTTCGTTGCCCTTTTGGTAGCACTGCAGCTGGCCGCCCCAGAGACCACCAAAGTAGAGGTAGCCCTGGCCGTCGTCGTCGACGAAGCTGGCCGGGTCGATGCTGTAGCTGCCCTTGATGGGTTCCGGGTCCGGGGTGAAGGGGCCCTCGGGCTTATCCGAGACGGCGACGCCGATGCGGAAGACGTCCTGCTTGTCGCGGGCGGGGAAGTAGAGGTAGTATTTGCCGTCCTTGTAGGCGGCGTCGGGAGCCCAGAGCTGCTTCGAGACCCAGGGTACGTCTTCGGTCTTCAGAACGACGCCGTGGTCGACGACGGGCTCGAGGGGATCCAGCGATGATGTGCTGAAGACGTGGTAGTCGGCCATGTCATATTGGTCTCCATTATCGTTGAACTTGATGTCGGTCTCGCGGTCGTGAGATGGGTAGATGTAGACTTTGCCATTGAAGACGTGGGCTGAAGGGTCGGCCGTGTAGAGGTGGTTGATGAGGGGCGCCATTGTGAATGTATGTGGGATGGGGGAGGGGAGAAAGTGGGAGTGCGGGGGAGAGAATGCGGGGGTTGAAGGTGGTTGTTGGTGAAATTGGGGTCAAATGGGGAAACCAAGCATGCCACTTTGGGTGTCTTGAAGAATAGGATAGGACGATGTTGCAGATTGCCTACTTGCAATAAGACAAAGACGATCAAGGATATTCTGCAGAGACCGATGGGGCGCAAAAGAAAAGCCTTGGGAGGTGATCATTTATATGCCAAATAGCTGCCCTCGAGTATTCTCCACCGTCAAAAGGGTTCAGGCGTCTGGATGAATGTGAAAGTGGTGATGTTGGCCCGGCAGAGTGGAACACGGGACGACTAGCCAGCGGCCTTTGAATTTACCCAGCGCATTTTCCCGGTTTACCCCATCCTGGGCACACCCCCCACCCGCACCACGAGTTGGAGGACTGAACCTGGACACTGGTGACAGTTGCAATCCAATACAGGTGCATGATGCTGCGGTGGGCCAACCGTGGACCTTCTCGGGAGATGCAAAACCAATCTCTTGTGTGCCATGCTGGTCCTGGTGAAGTCATATTAACGCCGTAAGGCACTTCTTTTGAGCGTCCAACATGATTTCTATCGTATTTTGATTTCGACTGAGATATGTTTCGGATAGTAAATAAATACCAAAAAATGCAAGAAAATAATGTTGGACGCTCAATCTCGCCCCTTTCAGGATGAGACCCCGCGCTACCCAAGTTTTACCGCCGAAATCACAAGGCAGCGTAGGATTCGAACCCCGTCGGTAGGTTATTGGTAGTCTTTGTGACTCCATGGCTACGATACGCCGTCGCTTGCACCATTGAGCCAAAGGTGGCTCAATGAACTTGTAATTAGGCAGTGTTGCGGTCCGCTCGCCTATGGACCTTCCTCCACGGCGTCAGCAAGGTTCGTGGAGGCCGAACGGGTTGCTTAGCATCGTGGGATGGAAAAGTCTGGAAGCCTAAAGTGAGGACATGAAGGTGCGTCCTCTTTGGGTCCAAAGCTTGATCATCGATATTGTTCTCCCTCTCACGCCCGACTGCTGAAAATAAGGGTCAGCCGCACATTAGCATTCATCAAGGCACGGCGATATAGCCTAAGTCTCAGAAGCGCAGTGGCAGTGGTGCGGCTCGTAAGGGAGCTTGAATTCAGAACCGCCAATGATGACTGCGCTTTGGCTCGCCATCATGTGTTCCAGTCTTCTCTTGGTCTTTTCTTTGATGCGCAGACAGCTGACAGTGCTGGTTCGGCTCAACCAGCCGCGCAGCAGCTGTTCAGAAGTCCTGAATGCCGGTTTGGCCCCGTGTGGTTTGGGCTCCCTCGTCTGCATCGCTGGCCCACTCGGGATCCTCTTCATCGAACCAGGCTTCCTCGGCATCACGTCTCTCCATGACGTCGTAGTCTTCGTTGTCGTCGATCAGACTGTAATCGAAATCCTCGTCGTGGCCTCGGACAAAACGTTCCGTGAGAAACTCATGCCATCTCTGAAGGCCATCTTCCTTTGTCTTTGTTTTGGAAAGATCGGCTTCAGTTGTGAAATCTCTCGCGGGCTCCAACGTTGTAGTGTTATCAGTTGATGATTTCAAGTCGGCAAGACGAGCCTCGCCCCTGAGCAGGGAGCTCTCTAGAACTCCAGAGTAGCCCTTGGCCTTGCCTTCGACCTCACGCTCGGCTGGTGTCTGGAATTTGCGAACCAAGCTGTCATATAGTAGGGGGTCTGGAAAGAACATTAGCTAAGTTGATAGTGAAGTGAAACCAAATCCCGCATGTCCAAGTCACCAAGACCGCTCAAGAAAAAAGGAAGAAAGGGTATGCGGAGAGACGGACCTGCCAGCTCGTGTTCAGCGTCAGAAAAGTACTTTGGATGTCTCTCTAGATACTCTCGACGACGGTTTCGAGACCGGATATTCTTGGCTACTGTTGGCGACCTGGGTGGACGTGGCGTCGGCTTCTCGAAGGGCAGACTTTGCGACTGATGCTCAGGCTCTGTGAAGGAGGGCATCTTCACTTCAGGCCAGGTGCTTTCGGAATCAAGTATAAATGGTAGGCGTATAATATCACAGATACGATATGAGGAAACCTGGCTTTAGTTGAGTTCCGTAGATGAAGGCACCAAAGTGGATTAGACGAGACTGTAGATGTTCGTGTCTGGTTACAATTACCTTCAGCGATGAAAGATGTCACTGTTTAAAATGTGGGTCGCGACAAAGGTAGGGACAGGGTACTTGTGTACCTCAAGTAAGGAAGTCCCTCCTGGGTGCGAACGCAAATCCAGATGTACATCTTTTCGGATAATATGACTGCAGGACAAAATGCACTCGCACGATTTGATAACTTGCAGAACCCCACGAAAGCACTGGATCCACGACTTGCAGAACACCTTGTCGAAGATCGACGTTTTGCCTACCAGCCGATATATCCTTGGTTTCGGGCCAGGCGGGTGCAAGATCTCGATGGAAGGGCACGGTACTGGGGAGCTTAGTTTGTGGCTGGGGAACGAGGATATCCTCAGGCTCTTGTCCTTGCACAAGGAATTAATAGGGCGTTTAGTGGAATTGTCCGCTTTTTTCGATGTCCATATCCTCCATAAGTGACAATACTGAGGTATGGAGCACTTGAGTAAGGTACCTTGGACGGGAGGGTCGGGCTGCTCAAAGCAGGCCAATTGGCTGTTTATTGGGGGTGGGGCGGAGGCACATCGACGTGGCCCGGCGCAGAGAGCAATACGGCCAATTAATAGGGGGGAAGGCGAGAAAAACGTTGGCTGTTAACGGGAAATGAGATACAAAGGAGGGAAAAAGCAGGATTTGAGCCGGACATTGAAGCCGGTTAGGTGCCTTTTTACGGATGGTCTACGGATCCATGGACCATTCATGTGGGCTTGCACTTTGCAAGGCGTGGTAGCCGCATGGGTATCCCATCCCACGCGTCGTTTGCCCTTTTTCTCTCTACGAATGAATGGTAATATTGGGCTGTCAAGGCATATCTGGATGTTCTGTGTTGTCTGTGATTTTGTGTCTCTGTCTCTCGAGTCTCCCTCTACAAGTTACAACCCAGCGCGACCCCGGGATATGACAGCCAGCCAGCCCACTGGTGCTTAACTGGACTTGATCTGGTGGTTCACATCCATTCGCATTGACTTAGTGGACGGCAAAGCTAGGCATCTTGCACCATTTCTACTTGTTTTCTGTTGCATCGTCTTTCTTTTTCCCGTTTAGTCTCTGCCTCTTGTCTCTGAGTACTGAGTTGGGTATCTCAAGTTTTCAACCCCATTACCCTCTCATTCCTCTCTGTCTTTTCATTCTGAGATTTTGCCCGGTCTTCCTTTTTGGGATATCCTAGGCCCATCTCACTCACTCATTTATCACATCTTCTTTCTTGTCTTGTCTTGCCTCTCAATTCCCCAGGTGCCCGTCATCCCCCTTTAATACTCTGTACTTACCACACTTACATTCCACTTTTGTCAACTCACCTCACCGTATCATACCGTATTTCACCGTGTCCATCTACGTTGGAAGAATCGCCCTTCCCCCCTCATCCTCTTCCTCTTCTTCGCCGCAGTCAGAGAGGCTACAGTACGAGGCACCTGATACCACTTATTCACCCACCTCTCATGCCACCCGTCCCATCCGTTCCTCCTCCTCTCGGCGTGTCTCAACCTCAGTCCACTTGATCCATCATCCAAGGAAACGACGACCCGCCGGAACAAAAGTCCATCGGCACACGGCTGCCATCACGTCCACGGCAACGGCGGCGACCACGCGACAAGACGCGCAAGACACGATACCACACCGAATTTCATTTGAGCAACGTACCGTCGTACACCGTACCGTCCCGTCCCAAAGGAAGAAAAAAAAGCCTCGCTCCCATTCGCACGCTGAATGTGACCCTCCCATACCCATGGGTACTGCTGGGGATATCAGAGCTCGTCTCCGGGCAAAGTTCTCACGGAGGAATTCGGCTGCCCCATCTCTAGCTTCCAACAAGAGCACCGGCGATGCTCACAACTCCCAGGCAACTGATGGGACGAGTCTCACACGGCAATCCTCGGCCGTTGCATCCGCTTCGGCTCCAAGGTCCAGAGCAAGCTCCCACCACCCGCCTCACACGCCAATCTCGCCCTTGCCCTCGCGCTCGCCGACTCCACACGAGCCACACCATCACCTTCAGACACAGCCACAGTCCACCACACTACAACCCCCCGGCAGCAGCCATGGCGACCACTTGCTGCAGCCGAAATTGAAGGCAATTACGGCTGAGGGTTCCGCTGCTGGGGCTGCAGAGGGTGAAGCCGACAGTGAGGAAGGGCAGCTCCCGCCACAGTCGTCGTCCTCAAGCAAGTCCCATCTATTGGACCACCAACAAAAACAACGCCACGAGCCCCAAATCAATCACGACAGTCATGGTGATGAAGAAAATAACTTTCATGATGCACCTCTCAGCAGCGACGAGGTTTTAGTAAGGGAAGAGAATCCCATAGTCACAGCTACTACGGGTACCAACAACGATCAAAGACCCGCAAGCAGCGCCAGCGCCAGCGCCAGCGCCAGCAACAAGGTCAGAGACAACTCGACCGGGACTGGGGACGATCAGGACGCTCATAAGCCACACCCCGACCTCGACCTCGACCGTGACTCGCTGGCCCCAATGCCGCCCGCCGCGTCTCAAGGACGCTTAGCTAGCGAACTGACTGCCAGCAACGATCTACGCCCAGCCGCAACAACCACAACCGCAACCACAACCACTCCCCCTACCGCAGCTCCCACTACCCTCAACAACCTCCCAAGCATCCACGAGGACCAAACCCCACCCGGATTTGACGACCCAAAACAGAGACTTCATCTATCGCAGTCGGATCACTCGCACCAGCCACTACCGCCAAAATTTGGCGCAGCTCCCACCGTTACCCTTCAGGCGGTCTCTGCCGAGGACCTCAACGACGATCAACACGATCCCCTCAGCCATGCCCTCGGCACCCCGACGCCTCTCGCAACCGCCATCCTACCGAGTTCGCCCTTGTCCTCCCGCCCAGAGGCGCCTCCCCGACGACAAAGTCTTATACCTAATCGTCAAACCACTCTGATTCGAAATCTGCTCGAAGGACGTGTCGAAAACGAAGCTAGGCCAGCCAGCGCCGATTCTTTGCTCCCCAACATCGCAAACATGGTCACCCGCAAGGTCTGGGTTAGGCGCCCCGGTGCTTCTGCCACACTCATCACTGTCAACGAGGACGACCTGGTCGATGACGTGCGCGACATGATTTTACGAAAGTACGCCAACTCGTTGGGCAGGCATTTCGATTCCCCCGATCTCACACTACGGATATGCCCGCGAGAGCAGAGACAAGATCGTATGCTTGGCCCCGAGGAGCCCGTGGGCCGTACACTCGATGCATACTTCCCTGGTGGTCAGAATGTCGAAGAGGCTCTGGTGATTGATATCCCAGCCCGGCGCACACCGAGGCCATCACCGCGCGCCCCAACTCATGCTACAACAATTTACTACAACGACGAAGGCCGGCCCTCCGAAGCTGGCGAGGGATATTTCCCTCCGGTTGCAAATGCGGCTGCTCTGCCGTCACCAAATCTACCAGTGCCGGTTGTAGCTCCTGTTACCGTCCCTGCAACACATCCCGCGCATCCTGCCCATCCAGTTCATCCAGCGCATGCCCTCACTGCGCATACTCAACACTCGATCGCAATTCTCGGTACAGGCCAAGTACCGCCAATACCCTCGCCGGGAGGCACGAGGTCTCGTGCTTACAGGGAACGCCCAGAACGCCCTCGTCTTGGGAGAACCCATACCTCCTCACCTACGATACTGAACCAAGTCAATGCACAATCCATGGCGGCCGCAGCTGCTGCTGCCGCACATCCCACCCACTCATTCCACCCACGCCTACCGCCTTCTCGGACGCAGTCGAACACTTCGGAGCAATCCAACGCCCAACCGGCTGCTCCACCGCTTCCGACACCGCCCGCTCCGGAAGTACAGCCTGCGAGAGTTGCGACTCCCCCGCCCAGGATTGCTTCTCCTAGGCCAGCAAGTTCTCGGCCTAAAAAGAAGAAAACGGTAGATCATCCAACTCTGCCCGCTGGCATATTGAATGGCGGTGTGCCGCCTATCAACGTGTTGATCGTAGAGGACAACCCGATCAACCTCAAGCTGCTTGAGGCTTTCGTCAAGCGTCTGAAGGTTAGGTGGAAAACGGCGGTCAATGGCCGAGATGCCGTCACCATGTGGAGGACCGGAGGTTTCCATCTTGTTCTGATGGACATTCAACTGCCCATCATGAGCGGATTGGAAGCCACTCGGGAGATCCGCAGATTGGAGAGAGTCAACTCGATTGGTGTCTTCTCTTCGTCGGCAGGTAGCGCACCTGAAGCCCCGAATGGCGAGCCCGAGGAGAAGGACAAGTTGACCAATATGGAGCTCTTCAAAAGTCCGGTGATTATCGTGGCCCTTACTGCCAGCTCCCTCCAAAGCGACAGACACGAGGCCTTGGCGGCTGGCTGCAACGATTTCCTTACGAAGGTTGGTACTCATCTACACTTCAATGCCTACTAGTCCACCATACTAACGTGATAACTATAGCCCGTGAACTTCGTTTGGCTAGAGAGGAAGGTCATGGAATGGGGTTGCATGCAGGCACTCATTGATTTTGATGGCTGGAGGAGATGGAAAGACTTTTCTCAGCAGAATGACGAGGCTGAAGCCAAGAAATCGGCCGCATTGAAGACGAAAGCAAAGAAGAATCGATTGTCGATGACTTCGGTGCCAGCATAGAAATGCAATAACGCTCAGAAGCGTTAGCAGGGAACAGTGGTTATGCGACAACGGCTTTCGCCACACTTTTTGCTGAAGGCCACAGTATTGGTGGTACTGCGAGCCTTCAATGAGTCTTTTTTGTCCCAATGGTCTCTCATGAGACTTGGCTTAATGAACATGACGGCAACAGACGGACTCCGCTCTTAGGTATGATTATAGCAGGCTTGGTGCTCATCTCTGTTGCAAGGGACCAGCATTTTGTCCAAGTCTACTCGTCGTTTGGTTGCATGGACGCAACGGTTCGGTTTAAGAGATGCCCCGCATAGAATATACGAAGAGGGACGCGCAGAATGATACCATAGAGCGCGTATGCATGAGAGAATAATCATAATGGATTCAGCAACGCATATAATAGAGGATTTTGCTGAGATGACACGCATTGATCGTGACTTCATGTTTGGCCTGGTAGGTATACTGTATTGAGGTGAAGGATATGGCTCAATTGTGATCTCTAGAGACGTTTGCACGGTAAAGAAAATGACGAGAGGTGCCTGACCAGACCCGAGTTCACCCTATCTGAGTTCTATCGATTGTACTCAACGGGGGGGACAAGACGGGATTATCTGATAACCGGAAGACGGATGTTGAAGACCGGTAGGTGGGTCTGAGTCCGGAGCTTGGGAGACGGTTTTCGGTCCTGTCCTGTCCTGAGGCACAAGGCCAATTGAGCAAGGCAAATTATCCGCGATGTGGTCCGTGCGCGTTCTCCTAAGAAAACGAGAGAAAAATTGGTCGGAGCTTTAAAAAGTCTCCCTTCTTCACAAAACAACCACACCCACGTTTTACTTAAGCTCCCAAATGGTTGCTTCGCCGTAAAATCGGTGCAATCCACGGCGCACCTTCTGCGTCGAGATAATACCCCTTTCTTTTTTTCTTGCTTTGTACACAATGTCGGCACGAGCGGGCTCGTCATTGTCGCCATTGGTCCTCGCGACCAAGTGGTGCGATGCGTCCGCCGCCGCGTATGCGGGCTCGCGATGCGCCTTTTCGACGACGCCGGTCCAGTCGAGAAGGAGCAAGGCGCAGCACAGGATGCACGAGTTCTTCAAGCTTGGTAGAGGTGCCAAACTGAGAGACTCTGAGAACGGTGTCTATTACTTGGGCGGCTCCAGGGACCAGCCGTTCCCGATGAACCCGTTCTTCCGGAGCGAACCCGTGCTGAGCGAGAGGCTGAGGGACGAGGTCTACCGGAGGGTCACGGTGGCCAAGCAGTCGCTGAAGCTCGTCTCGGCGGAGCTGGGTATCGATGTTCGCCGCGTCGCTGCCGTGGTGCGGATGAAGGAGATCGAGAAGCAGTGGGTAACAGAGGTAAGCATAACCATTCATTTAATCCATCAAATCCCCCCTTCGGTGGATTCATCCTCCACCCACCCCAGCATCATGATGATCAACTTTCCAAAATTCGATTAGTCTTGAAGACGCAACATATGGTTACACCTTGGCACTGCGAGCCTCTCTGATTTGCTACTATTTAAATTCTCAACTCATGTTTCGCACATCATTTCAGACGTATACAGTCTTTGCTGACTTGAGGAACCTTCTTCGCAGCGCAAACCACTAGCTCGACCTTATGCCCAGGCCATCATGAACATGCTTCCCCAGACTTACCTGTCGGACGCAGGAAGAGACCAGAGGCCCCACGAGCCCGTGAATGAGATCCACGTCCACAAGCTCACGATGCAACAACTCTTCGTGCCCGTGTCTGAGTCGCGGCAATTCAATAGAGAAGACGCCGCAAAGGCCTTCCATAGAAACATGCTTTCGATTGACGATCGCTCACCGCACAAGGAGCTCATTGACATGAGGAGGGCGGCCGCCAACGGCGGCGACAGAGCTGAGCTGACGCGCAAGTTCCGCGCCGAGACGAGGGCACAGGAGGACAGGTTGGTCGAGAGAGAGCGCAAGCGTCTCGAAAAGGTCGAGGAGGAGACGACGCGTGTTGATACCGGTCGTTTCGAGTTCAGATTCAAGGAGATGAACGTCGAGACCGTCGGAAAGAACGGCCGCAGCAGAGGAGGCGTCGGCTGGAGATACGGTGTCCCCTTCTATGACCGCAGGAAGGGCGAGACGAAAATTCCCACATCGGTGCCTTGAACGTGTCCAACCCAGGCCTTACTGCCTATTGCCGACTACATCACACCCGGCGACGGCACGCTGGAGGAGGAGAAGCGGCTCAAAAACAGTCACTAAAACCAATCAGAAGATGAACTGAAGTCATGTTGGCTCAGTTCTCGTGTGGACGCTTTACGATAAAGCGTCTGTGTCTATCAACTGTACTTATATACATGTAACCCTATATGACGACGGACTCAAGCGGAGGGGCGCGCTTCAAAGGATGAAGCTTCAATCCAGCCCAGCAAGAAATTCATTTTATTCCTTCCAATAAGCCCTTTTTTTCCTATCAAAGCAAATACTTTGTATGTGAGACCCAGTCGACTACTTTACGTCCGTCATCAGCATTTACTACCAGGTTTGACCTGATACGGCTGATGTCGTCTGGCGAGAGACGACATCTGTTCTGGACATACGCCTCGACTGAACCGTACTCCTCGCGGAGTGCAGCCAGCGTTGCAAGCATGTTTTCCTTCCTGAGCGGGGTTTAGCAATAGGTACAGTAGGTGATTGAGTGATGGTGAGCAAGCACATACCGAGATCCAATCATGCGCCTAGCCCCCTCGGGGTTCCCCTTCATGGCCTCGGTAGCGAGAAGGTGCTGAATAATCTCCTCCCTCCGATCCTGGAGACCAATGTCGGTGAGGCTGTACTCGTGGGCCACGACCTCGTCCGAGACGCCGCAGAGGCTGAGAATGAGGGCGCAGATGATTCCCGTCCTGTCCTTGCCAGCGGTGCAGTGGATGAGCAGCGGAGTCGGGGGTTCGGTGGAGGCGAGGTGAGAAAGGATGGTGTGGAAAGGGTCGTTGGGGTGGTCTGCCTCCGAAGCGGCGCGGAGGATGTCGGTGTAGGCCTTTGTGAAGCCCTACGGAAACGTTTGTTTTAGAATTTTCACACATAATCTCACAGAGTGGCTTGCAGAAGAAGAAACTCACCTCGGGCCCGTTACTAGAGTAATTCCGGTACCGTAAGGCAATAGCTTCGGGGCCGTAGTCCATGTCCCGAAAGACGGGGACAAAGATGCGGGTGGCGCCGGGCCACTCGCGGACGTCGCAGCTCGTGCCAGCCTTTGCGAGGCGCTCGAGCTCAATGGCGGAGCGGAGGTCGTAAACGTGGGTGATGTTGAGGTTCTGGAGGCGAGCGACGCCGTCGTCGGTGAGGCGGGAGGGCTCGGCGGAGCGGAAGAGGATGCCGGGCTTGACGATGCGGCCGGCCGGGAGGGCATCGACGGGATAGCCGCCGGCGTCGCGAAAGTTGGGGAGACCTGGGATCTGGTGGAAGGGGGGCGTGGGGAGGTCGACTTTGGGGCGTGATTCCGTCATTGTGTTGTCTCTGCTTGTCTCGTGTTGCTATACGAGTTGGAGGGGAAGTCAACGAGCGAGAGGTCAACGTTTACGCTGTGGAACGGATGAGATGAACAACAAGGTTGTGGACTGGATCTGGTTAATGGTAGTGTGTACGGAGTATTCGCATTCTGTAGATGGGTGCACCGCGGCAATGGGCATCGTCGGATGTGGCCTCTGCGGGGGAGGATTGCGGCATCCGAGGCATGTCGTTGGGTAGGCTCGGACCTGCCCACCTTTGGGCCAACATGCGCGCGCCTTTGGGCGTAAGTGGGAAGCAGCATCAAGTCAAGGTCAACTAATCCAGGTTGCTCTCTTCACCGAGAACTGACTAACAAATTCCGTCCTTATCCTGCATGTGGAAGTGGATATGTGGTGAGGAGAAGCAAGAGCAACATGTAGAACAGGCCAGGAAATAGCTTCTAACACGGAGTCTAACTCTCGTACCTGCCGAGGTGAAGAATGGCCCGACTGGGTGTACCGAGTGTCCGTATATTGATCTACCTTGGTAGGAACCCAGCGCTTCGGTTCACCCAGTCTTGCGGGCAGTCTTCATCAGCAGCTCAGAAACATGGCCAGTCAGCAACATGAGAAACATGAAAGATCGATCACAAATGTCATCATTAGGCAGGTGCCGTCCGAGGTTTGTTTCCAACACTGCCAGATTCGGGCCGTCCAAGAGCAACGACAACAGGGAGGAGTACTTGGGTCGGAAGTGCTCAAAACATCAGAATCTAGGTCAAATTACATAGTAGGGTCATGTCACATCGTCCGAGGGCCCAGTCGACCAGTGTCATGGAAGCGCTGTGCTATTACGGCCAGGTGACTGTCTGGCACAGCTGAAGTGAGACTGCTAATCTGCTCAGATGCTGCCGATGATGCCCACCTTACCTTACTGCATACCTAGTCAACTCATCGTGTTAATGAGGTCGAGTTCCTCCTTCTTGGTTCCAAAGAGTAGAGGCATCTCATCTCGTACCTGACAGGTCTGACGTCCTCGATGCATGCACCTTCCCCTGACGCAGGCCAGCAGAGCAAACATGCAGAGTTTCCAAGCTGCGGCAGCTGCTCAGATTGACACCTGCCCGTCGATGGCTCCATGAGCCAGTGACCTTGAGCCCTCAAGCCCTGACCTGAACAACACCTCAAGGAGCAGACCGGGAACCTCTCAGGGCTAAGAAGACGGCCACATCCAATGACAGCAATGACAGCACCCCCCTGGGCCCCTGCACCAAAACTACGCGAACCTCCCACCTAGAGGAGTAGTCGCGTTCCTGACTGGCTCGTCGTCCGCGCTAAAGGCCTCGTGCTGCGTCATAGGGGACCAACTCATATCTTCCCAGATTTTCTTGACCTCTTTTTTTCCTACCAAGGACGCGCTGGGAGTTGGGGGACTTGGAGGGAATCCGACCGGTTTGAGACAAGCAAGATGGCGATCAACCTGTTTGTGTCTTTCCCACACCCTAGCGCCCTCCTCGTGGTGTGATTAAACCAACTGGCGCTGCTACCCTTCCATCTGACCCTGCCCACCTTAAATCACCTTGCTCGACTTTAGGTTGGTGTCATCATTACCTGCCAAGGTTGCCTTCACCACTACGCCTGTTCCCGTAGTAGAGAAAAAAAAACTTCGTTCGCAGCAGCCTTAATTTGAATAAGACCCCCCTCTCCCTTCCAGCCTACCCCGGTGAAGCTGCGACCATCGCTCATCCCAACCTCAACTCATCGTTCCGCTAAACCAACACTTCCAAATCCGCAAAAACTCTTACCCAACACATACGACTCCTCCAATCTAGCGGTCAACCACTGATAAAACGTAGTCCGAGATGGGCCTCTTCGGCATGGCAGCGAGCTACCTCGCCTTCTCCGTCCTCCACTTCTTCCAGTTCGTTCTGGCCGTCACCGTATGCGGCCTCTACGCCGTCGACCTCAACCGCGCTAGAAGTGAAGGGAGCTACACCGACGGGAAATGGGTGAGAAAATCTTCCATGCTCCAAAAAAACAGGGAGTTTCGGATGCAGAAACGAGGACTAACAACGCCCCCCAAAAAACAGGTCTTTGCTGTCGTGGTCGGCGCTCTCTCCGCCGTAACGGCTCTGCTGTACTTCATTCCCTTCATCCTGCGCTTCGCCATTGTCTGGATATGGGATGCCATCCTCTTCATCCTCTGGATCGCCCTGTTCGGTCTCTTTGGCAATGTACGTACACCGAAACCAGTTCCCTACCGATGCAAACCTACCCACTGCCCTCTCTCGCCATAATTACTCATACTAACTTTTGACCTGCCAGATGTACATCAAGGAGAACGCAGAGGGCGACAGCGGCATTCAGCGCATGAAGAACGCCGTTTGGGTCGACTTGGCCAACGCCCTTATCTGGCTCATCAGCGCCCTGGCGACTGCCGCCTACTGGTGGAGACACCGCGAGCGCCGCACCCGCTTCACTGGCCGTGGAAAGGTCTAAACAAACAATGCTCAAAGCGAACCGTGGCCTACTTCACAAGGGGTGATAGAGCTCTAGAGCTCGTCTACTGAGTAGATGAAAGTGGGCATTGTGCGAGTGTATGGTCGAGGTGAACGCTCGGGATCCGGTGATAATGTTGTTACGAGGCCGGTGTTCTGGAGTATTTTAATTCTGCCGCAAACACGATACCAAAACCCTGGCGAGGTTTATCTTGTATTTTTGCTTTCTTTCCACAATTCCAATCCTACGAGAGATCCTTGAGTCAGTCGCCGTCTTCGAACACCAGCTGTCCGAATTGGCTGTGAGGTTAATGAGAAAAGAAATCCGTGGTTGCCGACTTACTTGTTCACCATAGGCACATAAGACTGTCACCATATCCCTTGCAAACATGCTCCAGACTTACCCACGTGAGAGGCCAGAGAGATTATACCGGTGACTAGACCTGCGTTGAAAAGAATTAAGTCACGAATAGATTACTGAAAAACAAACGATGCTCAGCCTGACGCCCGTCCGTCTTCCTTAGCCGGGGCCGGCCGGTACTGACACGGGGACCGTGTGTCCCCCCTTCGAAAACCCTGACGACTGAATCGTACACGCCGCGCCGTCGTCGGCGCCGGCGTAGCTGTCCCTGCCGGAGGTGAGCGGCCCCGCGTTTCTGCCTTCCTTAGAGTTTCGATCCTCCCTACAAGATCGTCTGTCTCCAAGGGGCACTCTACAAGAATGCTGCGCCTCAAGTCCCTTTCATCCATCCCATCGTGGACGGCCCCAGAAACCCTCAGGGAACTCTTGAGCCGAGTGCTGTACCGTGCGGTGGGTGCATGAAAACGCTGTCTCCATCTAGCAATGCACAGCCCGGAGGTGTTCCTCCTAAATCTAGCGTACCAGAGCCGTTCTACCGCTCCTTGGACCAGATGGATGCAGTTGACTGCGTGACTGCCAGGCACGCCAGGCCCGGCGCCTCAAAAGTCCTACATAGGAAAAGCAAGGGGTCCAGGGGTCATGTTTTCCAACCCCGCAGGCACTAAGCAACGTCGTGTCTCCGCTGCGCTGTGACGTAGTGTCTGTGGCGACCCTGACAGTCCGCTCGTCGCTGGTTATCTCTACCAGATATCGGCGAGGGTAGCGCGCTTCAGAAAAATCCGGCCAAACATTCTTGAATAGGCCCAATGCACCTGAGCGGCCCTCGCGTTACAACACTTTAGAGACTGGAAATTTGGGCCGCAAATACTAGCGGAATAAGTCCGTGACGAGATCTAAGAGGGCATTTGGTGGCGGGCATCATTGAGGCTTGACCTTCATCCCACCGTCGGAGAGCCGCAAGCGGGATGTAAGCGACGGAAGACCCGGGGGGGGGGGGGGGGTCGGTGCGCTTTGACGTCCCCTGTTGTAAATTCAGAGCGAACAACGATAGTGAAGGCGGCAGTCGGCAAAGTGAGACTTCAGTATCAACCAAAGCCGGGAAACCCAGGGTATAGGAGTGAGCCGACAGGACTCGCCGTTTCGCGGTGCCTAGCACCCGCTGTATCCTTTCACGCTTCTAACCTTGGGCAAAAAATCGACCCATTAAAATCATCTGCGGCCTTGCGGCTGTTCAAACTTGAGAAGGCGGAAGCGATCGGCGGCAAGATCAGCACAGTTTTTGCTGCTTCCGATTCAAAGCCTGAAAGGTCAAGCCCAGGACATGCATTGGGTGATTGGATCATGGCCCATGAATGAATCAAGTGGGCATCCCAAGACCCTCTCAACCTCTGCCTCTGGTCCTTCTCTAGCGTCATGTACACTAAGACGACAGCCTCCGCTCCCTGTCTCTCACAACGTGGGCCCCGCCAGTGGTAGCAGCGGGATGGAGTGAAAAGTCATAAACGCCCGACGATGCGGAGGTTTCATCGGCTAGGACCGAAAGCCTGAAGGCGGAGGGGGTTGTATGGATACTTGGACCGTAGCAGAGACAGTGCCGTCCATATGTTGCGACAAGTGGAGGAGAAAGCATGAGGGGTAAAAGAGACAACTGCTGAACGACACGTTTGGACGACGGTCGGTTTCTGTCGAGCAGGCTCCGGGTAGCCAGTGCGGAAGCGTTGAACCGAATGTCTTTTATCTCTCCGTCCAGCGCGGGTCGGCTTTCAGGTGGCACAGTCCGATCCTTTGCAATGGAGTTGCTGGGCTGGAGAAGGCCTTCGATCGCTTTTGGATGCCGCAAGTAGTTAAAGACAGGTGGCAGATGGTGACAATCTGAATCAGCAGCCACTATTACATCCAGCTCGACAGGAGAATAGTCTTGTAGGAGAATAGTCTTACCTCCATGGCATACATGCGTGGAATTGCCACTTGCCCGCTCGCGCAGCCACAGGCTCTAAGCCATGGGTATCAGGATTGATAAGAGCGACCTTCTTTCGTGTGTGTACGAGAGCTCATCCGACTGGATGTCACAGGCCTCGATGTGGTTCTCGTCAGGCTTGGAAAACCCGGTGATGATCGACATGAAAGATCGACGGCAGCAGTTCCGTGCTAGCTGGATGATTTGGCTCCTGATGTAAGTCAAGATAGTGTAGGTTAAGCGGTGAAAATGGCCAACCTCAATTTTGCGGCTGAGCTCCTTGCGCAGCAGGAACCTCAGATCGCAGGGTATACAGGCTAAAAGGAGCTGCCATGTGAATGTTGTCACGGGGAGGCTCTCTAGCATCTGCCTCGTAGTTGTCATGCTGATGACGATACCACACGAATACTAAGGTACCTTGCTGCATGTGCGATCCAAAGATAGGTACGCACTCTACGTCGTAAGTCAATGCAGGTGAGAGGGAACTTTACCAAGGCACCTTGCGGAAAGACGGTGCCTGCTCGATCTTGGAGATGAGAACCGAAGAGCACGTTTGTCGAGATACCTACCATGTGGACCCTCGAATTGATAATGCACTTACGCAGATGAAATAACAACAAGGTGGTTTTGTGATACAAATTGAACCATGTTGGTTATGATACTGAGCCGACCGGACTCTAACATTCCAAAGACGTTACTTATTCCACAATGCTCCGGACATCTGAGTACGGAGCACCTACGGTCCCTTCCACCTTGCGCAGCTACATCAAGGTACGTATTTCGTTTACGGCACTCGGGTCCGACGGTTTTGGACCCCTCCAATACGGTCACCTCAACGGCCGAAGCAAGATAAGGTGCCCGGAGCAGTGGAACGGCCAACCTAACAGTCAACGGCCCTTATTAATAACCCAATGGAAGCTAGCAACAGAAGACCCTCGAAACCGTTTCCCCCTTGCCTCCCTCATTCCGTTTGGTCGGTCTCCGCATCTCGCACCATCCCACCAAAACCCACACACCATTACGAATGGATACCTTCTGAGATGTGAGATACTCGGTAAACCCAGCAAGACCCAGACGCCAACACCCTTCCACGCGCCTTCGTCGTTGATCCTTCGATGCCATCCATTGCTCTTGACCCTTTGCAGAAAGATCATCTCTTTTGTGCTCGAACATAGAGGACCCTGCAGTCTGCCCAACACGAGTACCAGCCTGTTTCCGAATGCAAGCCGAGCCCTGATGAATAAAAGCCTCCAAGGAGCGAAGCATTACTTTTACCTTCCACTCCAAAAATAGCGGCTGCCTTTAAATCCGTCAACACCCTTCTTCCTCAACTACAACACTGCAACTACTACTCCGACGTAACTTGGCCCCTTCTACACGAAACAACTCCAAGTCAGCAACAGCGACTGGTTTCCTACCACAGCCAGTGGGCAAAGGATACGCCAGAGGCACAAGTTCAAGCACATCGCAGCCATTCATTCCGCAATTACAACAGGGCCCCTGTCAGGTCGAAATCCATCACCTGCAACACGGAGGGAGGGGACGAAAGAGCGACTACTGTCTCCCTCACCGCACACACATGCCCTTGCTCTTACATGATATCCACCTCCACACAGGCCTCACATATCCACCAAATTACCCGCTTTCTCTGGTCTGATCCTGCGCCCGTCTGGCGACGTGCAGTTAAAGAGAGAGCCTTGGAAGCCCATACCCGCCAGCACAGGATTCCAACCGAATGAGGTTGGCTAAGAAAACGAACGCACGCACATCTCATTCTGGACGAAGGACGAAGACGAGGACGCCGACACGCCGCACCCGCATGAGCCTCAACCTCATCTAGTCAAGCTTCCATTTCCCTTCCCGCCTCTGCTCATAAACAGAGTCTGCGGCAAGCACCTTACACGACAAGGGGCACGGCACGGCACAGCACATGGCATGAACAATAATCGTCACAAGCACCAAGAATCATCAGGAATCATCAAGGAGGAATCAACCATGGCGAGTCTGGGTCGGTCGTTCAAACCACCAGCGTACCTGCGGGCGCGATCCCGACCTGCAATGACTGGAAGAACCTTGTCCAACTCTTCAGATATTTCGGTCGTCTCGACAGGATCCCGTTCCGACGCCGATGACCTGCTCATGTCTGGGCTCAATACGCCAGCGTACGAAAAGCCAAAGTCAGGACAAGATGGGTTCAGGATGTCAACCGCCACCGAGTTGTGCTCTCCCAAAGGTATGTTTCAGCTCTTTGCTATAGGTCGGGCCATTATTCTATGCTCTTTTCAAGTTTATCAGTTTCCCACTTTTGATTTATCTCCAACTTCAGCTTTGGACCTTTCCCCCGCCTATTCCATGGGTTTTCAGTTCACTGTTGCAGGCTTGCCCCTAGGTGTCTCCTGTTTGTCTGCTCTTTGGTTGTCGCACTTGGGGCTGTGGGCTGTTCTGTTCCTGTGTTGTTAATTTCGGTTGATCAATCGGTCGCTGTTCTCTGTCATGCACTCCGGTACCTGCACCCAGCCGTCAATGCCCCCCCGTGGACCGCAACGTCGGCGCCGACAAGGACGGACGTTGGCGCCCATTGCCCAATGCTTCAGTGAGCCGGTTTACTACTTTTGTCCCTAGACTTGTGACAGCGAGTCAGGAAGGCTAGTCGGCTAGGGTCAAATGACGACGGCGCAGTGCACCGTGGCACCGTGGCTCGCAGCTGGCCTTGGAGACTAGGTTGTCTTGGATTTCCTCACGACCTTTTGTCCCTGGAGTTACAATAACTGCCGAGATGAGAGGAAACCCCTCCGTTCATCGAATCAGAGGGACAGGACCGAGAGTACAGCCTACAGTCTGAGCCAGTCAAGAGGGAGGGCGGAGAAGAGGAGATATGGCCTCCCCGATGAGCAGGCGGGATGGACTCCGATGAGCAGTGAGTGGCCAATGCCCCTCACTAGTGACCTCAATTCAACGCAACACCGAGTCGCCGACTTGCCGATGACCACCATTGGGTTAAAGGTACTCTCCTGATGGCTGCGTGTGCGAGTGCTTGCGTACCGCGAGGATGAGGTCCTAGTAGTGCTTACGTTGGGTTCGTTTGCTCGCTCCAGCATGACCAGATACGGATCACCACTTCACACCAAAGCCCTGAGAACTATGGCATTGTGTGCAAAAAGGCCCAAGGCCTTCCATGCCTGACGTTCCCATAGCTTTGGGCTGTGCCACTGCAATCAGGTGGTGTCTTTGGGGCCATTAGGGAGTGGGGATGGCGCGCCACTACGTTGTCTTCTGGACGCACCAAACGCTATGTCGGTATCAGCATGAGGTCCCTTCACTGCGTTCGGTCTGGTCCGCGCCCTCTTGGAGATTGAGGAGCGGAACTGACGCGGTGAAGTAATGGGGATGCGATGCTTCCATCCAGGCTGAGGTGGTGGGGAGGGGCCGGAGGGGCTGGGACGCTGGGTTGCCGTTTGGGGACTGGTCTGCTAAGCGGCGGCCTTGGTTCACTCGGCCGGGACGGACCCTGCCCGCCAGATGGCAGAACATCGTCATCATTCACTCTCATTTCTGCTATCGACGGGGTCACCCCCGGCCCTAAGCCCTTTTTCCTCACCTCTCCCAGAAAGTTCGTTCCCGTCTCGCATGGCCACCAGGGACCCTTACAGTTGCGTCATGCACATAGTGTGTTTTCCTTTCTCTTACGCAGTCTTTTTTTTTTCTTTTCCTTTTTTGGCCCAAGACGCTTGATCGGAATTTTACACATCCATGTTCCTTGCTTAGGTTCTCAAGAGGAGGATACCTTCGAGACTAATCCGCCCTTTGGCTCTTTTTAATAGGCGAATCGTCCGCACCATGTCTTCTCGACCTATCTGCTCTTCAATCTGCACGATACAATCGAACTCGCTCAATTCCTCTTGACCTGTCTCCTACGACTAGTACTCTTCGAAAGATAAACTCGGCACCTGCCTGCACGCCCACACCTCCCGATCCTTTGTCAGCCCGTGGCGACCTCTCTGGGTGAGTTCTAGTTTTCTTTCCCGCCGCCACCTCAACGTCTTTCCCGAATAAGCCAACCTTAACTCTCTACTCTTCCACTCAACTGTTTCTCAAAATCACTGCATTTTGGTGGTGAAACATACAGTGCCGTGTGCTAACACTGAAACCACAGTGGTTACTTTTCGTTCCACGAAGATCCCAAGGGCTCTACCTCTGGCCCTCGCCCTCAACCTCAATCAACCAGAACCGAGGGTCGATTGCCTAGACACAAGGCCGCTTCTCTCACTGTCGACTCTTCTTTTCAAGCCGACCTCCGTGGCGCTTCCCGATCTGCAGCCATGGCGCCATCAATCCATCTCTCTCCTATGAGCGCTGCCGACCCTTCAGGTTCATCCGGCGTCAACACACCCGTTACCTCGTATATCCCCAGTGGCGTTCACGATACATCCTTGCCAATGGGCAAGTACTACCCTTCGAACTACGAGCGAAACAGCAGTCAAGACGGCCGCATAGGACCTTCTGGACCCCCGAGCCGTGTATCGTCAACACGATCAGAAGGCCACATCCCAACACGCGAGGCCTTCAGGTCATCCTCACGACAAGACTCCGAGGTCCGCCGCAAGCTACAACAATATCAACGAGACATGATCGCCCAGGCGAGACTGGCGGCGAGCGAAGTGCTTGGAAGTTCACCAAGTCAAGTCACCGCGGCGGTTCCTAGCTCCACTATTACCTTGAATGGGGTACCCTTGACGAGTTTACACCATATCGGAAGCACCGGCGTCCACAAACCCATCTCACCGAGGCTTTTGCCACTAGGAAGCCCGGGACCCGTGACGCCGATGGATCTAGAGGTAGGATTAGGGCAGAGTGGATATCTCGATCGGGGTCGCAATGATGAGATTGCCCGCGTGTTACGGGCCGAGGAAGACCGGATCCGCCGTGAGGGAGCAACTTCGCCGGCGGTGGAAGCGGGTCCGCAAGTTTTCTAGAGTGGC